AATTATTTAATGTGTCTACTCCTCATTCCACTAATTGATTTTGGGATGGAAGCCCACTTGAGTTTCAACTGAGCTTTCCATGTCTTAGTGCGTTTCATCTGCGTGGTACCGCACCCATTTTTCCTCCGTCTCTTTCATGGTATCAGCAAGTGAATATCTTAATAATATATATCATCTTTTTATACAATTGAGAATTGAGAATTGACAAATACAAACTCAAACTAATAGCTGAATTATATGTCAAATGTTTTGAATGCAATTAATGAAATAAATTTCCTTTATTTAAATTTTATTATATTATTTCTATGAATAGTATGTAAATGCGTAATTACCTTAATTTTTTTTTTTTTAAAATAGTTTAATTTAGGGAATTCAAATTACTCAAAATTTTCTCTATGGCTTTTGAGTTATCTAGTAGTTTTTTTTTTTTTTTTTTGAACAAACTCCTTAATTTAAGGATTTTTTAATGCAGATTCCAAAATTAAAAAGGATTTTAAATTTGAAAAACTAAATCAACATTGAACAAACTTATTAAGTTAAGGACTTTTGAATGGAGTCCGAATAAGAAAATAACAGGATTTTTAATTTAAAAAACTAAATCAATATTGAACAGACTTCTTAAATTAAGGACTTTTGAATGCAGTCCGATTAAAAAATGAGAAAATATTTTTAATTTAAAAAATAAATAAATATTGGCTGAAATTTTCCATAATTAATTAAACAAAACCCACAATTATATGGTGCATTTAATGCTACCCGATTTGATTGTTTAGAATTTTTAAAAACTTGCCCAAAATAGAATGCATTTAATGTTAGATGAATCTTTTTCTTACTATTTTTGATAAATAGTAAATCTTATTATATATATATAGATATAGATAACAAAACAAAACAAAGCAAAACAAAACAATGAGACAATATTAAGAAACATATCATTTGCTAAAATAATTGAAAGGTGAAGAATAACAATTATGTTATGTTATATTATATTATATTATATTATATTATATTATATTATATTATATTATATTATATTATATTATATTATATTATATTATGATACTCTTACTCATAAGTAAACTTTATTGTTACAAAGTCATTATTAAAATCTACATCATGAATTACAAAGTTTTTAATTTTGTATTATTTATAATTTAAAATTAAAAATATATGTTCATTATTTATGAGAACCAATTTTTTTTATAGAGTCTCTATATTTACACGCTTGCAACACAAAATATAGTAATTTAAAAGACTTTTGCTTCTAGATATTGGTATTCACATTTCTCTAAGAAAATTCAGACTTTTTATTTTCCTTATTGCATTACTACTATTTCATTTGTTTCTTATTCTATTCACCAATAATATTTCAGTTGTTAAAAGAATTAGATTACATCATATGTATTTCGTTATTTTTTTGTACGTACTTTTTTTTAATGAAGTTGCGATAAAACATATCTCATTTATTAGTCTACAACTAATATAATCACACATGATAAAATTATTTAATATTAATTAATTAATTATTTATAATAATAATGATAGATTTGATAAAAATATATTTTTACACTGTTTATAAGATTAAAAAGTTTATGATTTTTTTCTATTATTTGATATAATATTAGGTAAATAACTCATTTTCATATTCATTGAAAATATATGTTACAACCATTATGGTATTTCCTTTCATGCAGTAATTGAATAATAGTTTAACATACAACCCATTATTTCTCCTTTTAATTTTTATAGTTAATGTTGGTAATAGTTGTAAGTTTACATCCATTTTGTACTTTTTTCTTATTAGTATGAATATTTTAAATATATGTAAGATAAATACCCCACATGTTTACCTTATGTTATTTTATACTTGATTTAATTGATTTAACATTTATAACTTATTTTGTTAGATACTTTTAGGTTTATTTATTATTTTAAATTAGTATTGATATATATATATATTATTTTATATTGATAGAAATAATTATATATTGGTCAAATCATACATCAATTGAAAATAAATTATGTGATATATTGCATAAGACAAATGGTACGACAGAGGGAAGTCGGTTCTTCTCGCCTTCCTGGTGTTAAGACAAATGGTTCTTCTCGCCTTCCTGGTGTTAAGATAGATGGTACGATGGAGGGGAAGTCAGTTGCCATTGTGATTGACTACTTTCGTCCAATTTGGTTTGGGGGTTTGTTTGGTGTGGTGCTCCCGGGAGGATATTCCATTTTGGTGTTTCGATTGTTTTTAGGCGAACCGCCTGAGGTTTCTTGACAGGGTGTCCTTGGGCCTCATGACTTGTATTTCAGAGATTTGCCAACTAGAGGTGGGGCTTTTGCTGGGGATGGTAGTGCATAATTCCCGATTTAGGTCTCGTCGGTTCTCAGGCTGCTAGATTGGCGAGGAGGGCGACCGTTTCACCGTGATATTGCCATTTTGGGCAAGCCTCTGGCGCTTCTTAAGGGTGAGTCGCGGCCTCGTTCCTCATTTTGGGGGATTTAGGGTGGAGGGTTTCGTTACTGGCCTCCTGTCCTTCACGTTTCTGGTGTTGGCCGGAGGTGATGGCCGACAAGTTTTGGCCGTGGCTGGTTTTTTAGATCAGGGTTGGTTTGTCGGTTTTTTGGGTGGTATGCGGTGTGGGTTTCTGGGTGCAAGCCTCAGTTATCCGTCTAGGCGTGGTTTGGGTTCGATGGTGCTCGACCAAGTTAGGCGTTTGTTTGGTAGTTTCTGGGTTGGGTTCCTGGGCCTTAGCTATGTTTGTGTGGTCGATTGTCCATTACGTCTCCATTGGTTGGCTTGGTGTGTGTCGGTTGTGGGAGCGTGGTGTATTCAGCTGTTTTTAGTTTAGGTTTTAGGAGTCGTGTTTATGTGTACGCTTTCTTATTCCTTCTCTTCCGTTAGGAGTTATGTGTATTCTCCCGTTGGGAATTTTTGTTTTGTTATTCTCCTGTTGGGAGCGTTTAGTGTGTGCGTTGTGGTAGGTAGGTTTTAGGCTACCTTTGGATAGGTCTACTTTTAAATTCAGTGTTGTACCTGCTGCGTTGTGGTAGGTAGGTTCTAGGCTACCTTTGGATAGGTCTCCTTCTAAATTCAGTGTTGTACCTGCTGCATTCCGCCGTGTGGTTATTGTAGTCG